GCAGTGGCACGCTCGCACACCAAAGAAAGCTGACTTGTCGACCAGTTTATGGTTCTCAAGGCAGTGGGGAACTTTGCCCTTCCATCACAGGAGTAAACGCAAAACGGGCAAACAGCCGCTTAAGTAAATTTGCGCTCGATAAATTTCAAATTTTCACGCGTCTTTGAAAATCTTATCTCTCATTAACAAGCGTCGTCTTTTAAAACACGCTAAAAAAAGTCTACTTAAGTGAATTCGCGCTCGACAAATTTAGACAGCCAGGACTTTATTTCTGTCGAGATAGAAGGTTCCGGTCTGGACTGGACTGGAGATGCCCGGGCTGGACTGGAAACGCTTGGGCTGGACTGGACCGTTGACAACCTTGACTGCTAAGCTTCAACTTGTAAATCGATACCAAAGGCTGATTCTGGCAGAGCTTTGATGTACCTCATGCTTTTGTGAAGCTTTTGAGTGGGCAGAACTGCAGTTTTCTCAATCTGCACGGGCAGGAGTGACTGTTTTTGAGGGCTTCAGTGGGCTAGAGACTGCACTGTGAATTTTGTTGAGGTTTTCCATATTTGGAGGAGACTCAAACCCTGCCTGTTTTGGTTTTTTGCTGAACCAAATTTGTAACGAGAGAAATCTCGTTTTGAATGACTTGCTTCTTAAATCTGGATTTTGGGAATTCTGATCTGGAGCTGGTTTCACTTGAAATTCAAGTGGGCTTGTCGGTTGATTTTGCGGAACTTGTCTTTTGACGGTTTTCTTGTGTAGGATCTTTGTTTGATTGGGTGATGAATTTTTTTGTTCTCCTTTACCCTGTTCACTCCACTTTGTATTTATAGTGAAAATTAATAATGGGCGGCAAATCTCTTTCAGAAGATATCTCCCCCCTTTTTTTCTCTTTTAAAATGGAAAGAAAGAAAGTAGGATTTTATCAGTTTTGGCAGATAGGCTTTCAACAGATAGGCAATCACTTCCCTGTTTTTCTTGAGAAAGAACCTAATCTCTCTTCTTAATTTCAACTGCCCCTTGTGAGATTTCAGCCGTGATGGTTATTTCTGGACAGGCCCCTGGTTATTTCAGAGAGAGATAAGCAGGAAAGTAGGGAAGTAGGGAGCTGTCCAGAAATAACCATCACAACTGATAGAGGATCCTCTTTCATATCTAGAGAAATGCTGGACATGGCAGAGGCATTCAAATTCAGATTGCTCCAGTCCACTCCTTATTATGCCCAAGCCAATGGACAGGCGGAGTCAAGCAACAAAGTGATCATCAACATTATCAGGAAAATGCTTGAGAAGAATCCAAAACAATGCCATGAGAAGCTGTCAGAGACTCTTTGGGCATATAGAACTTCAAAAAGAGAAGCAACTGGCATGACCCCCTATGCGTTAACCTACGGCCATGATGCAATTCTACCTATGGAGATAGCCATTCAGTCCCTCAGAATTGCTCACCAACATAACTTAGTAGGAGAGAACTACTCCCAGGCCATGCTGCTGGAATTGGAAGGATTGGATGCAGGCAGAATTGACACTCTCAACAAACTCCTGGCAGGAAAACAAGCTGTATCAAGGGCTTACAACAAAAGAGTCAAAAACAAGAGTTTTGAAGAAGGAGAGATAGTCTGGAAAGCGGTTCTGCCCCTTGGAACACATGTGGCTGGTTATGGAAAATGGTCACCTACATGGGAAGGCCCTTTCATAATCAACCAAATCCTTAGAATGGGGGCATATAGGTTACAACATAGGGACGGAGAAATTCATACTGCCCCAATCAATGGCAAATGGTTAAAAAAGTTTTATCCAACCATGTGGGATTCACAGGCTGTACAAACAGACCCTGGGATAGACAGAAGGCTACACTGAAGATCTTTTGATAAGATTACCTTTGTTCTAAAAATTATTTTAAGTTTGTTCCCTTCTGTACTTTTACTTCTACTTCTGTTCCTGTTTATTTCGTCAATAGGAATCAAAAACTAGAATTGCAACAAAAAATAAACTTTATTTAAAATAAAAAAACCCATGACAAGCTGTTCATCAAGAAATAATAAGAAAAGCAAAATCAAAATCCTAATTTTCTGAGGGTCTCTTGCAGATTGGTCGTCTTGATAGAAAGTTCCTTTCGAAGCAGCACACCCTGATGAATTGAAGCCTCTGCAATCTCCAGGGCTGGCCTAGAAGCTGCAACCATGTTCTGCACAAGGAAAGTGGCCTTGGTCTTAGAGCTCAATCCAGCCCCGAGCATGTGCTGCACTTCCCGACGCTCTGCCAGCTGTTTTTGAAGCTCCGCAATCTGTTTCTCCAATTTATCCGCAGTAGCTTTGGCTTCTTTATACCCCACAACCATCTGGTCCAGTTCTGCCTTCTGCTTTGCAAAATCAGCCAAGTTGGCTTCATGAGTGGCCTTGCAGAACTCAGAGGTTTTGAAGGTAGGCTTCAGATCTTCATAACGGTCGTGAAGGTTGAGCACATCCCTCGCCAAGGCAAGGCTCATCTCGAGGATAGGTTTTGGGGCCATGTTCTGTCTGTGCAGCAGATCCAGATCCTTCATCAGCTGGTCAAAGACCTC